AACTGTAGACATAGTAGCTATGTGCTTTCTAAGTTTGGTTGAGGATAGCATCTCTGGATGCACTGCACCACATTCTTTGGCTACCTGGCGTAGGGAGTCTGATCCCCTGATGTGGGTGTCTGCGCCCGGGCGGGAGAAGAAGTATGGGTTATGGTCAGAGATGGAACAGGCCCTTCTGTTCTCCACCAGCACCTCCATCGAAGCAATCATTTCAGGAGTCAAAAGAACCGGCACTTTCCGACTTCTTTTCCCTTTAATTTCAATGCGTTGAAAATGCTGACACAGCTTTTTCTCAAGTTGGGACGGTCCCAGAGCAATGTCAGAATGGATCCCAGTCTTACTTCTTAAGGTAAAGGCTGTCAGTGGCATCTTTGAAACCTCACCTTCCCTTCTTCGATTGAAAATGATGACCTCACAAAGAGTCAAAACTGCCAGTTTAGACCAATGCTTAGACGTTGGCTCACTTATTAGGGTTTGCACATATTCAGGTCGACATACCTCAATATGTGCATGCATGGCTCTAACGTCCTCAGTCAGAGGGAGCAGGTCCGGAGTGTTCCACTTGGCTTGCCGGAGGGTCTGTAGGGCAGCAGAAGAAACACAGACGTCCCACCTCTTCTCAAAAAGCAGCCGGCTTCGTTGGAGGTTTTTAATAAATAGTTCATCAACACAATGCTCCATTTTTGAGTCACATTCAAGAATATCTGCTAGCTTTCTGAGGCTATGGCCGAGTTTGAGGGCCAAGGATGGAGTCTTGTATTGATTTGTTTCCTCATCATATCCAGCCACAGACCTGACTGCATCAATCACATGGTTAAAGTTGGAAGGAATAAAGAAATCCTTCATTGTTTTCAGTTTCCCTGCGGTTTTTGCTTCGTTAATTAACCTACCGACTTCTCTCATTTTCTGCCTAATGTAATCATGCTTAGTCTTATCATGCCCGTGTTTTAAGTACAGGTGCTCTCCGAGTCTCAGAATCCCCTTTTCTGCTTTGACAACACCCGTGACCTCATCCTGATGCATTGCCCAAATTAAAGACCACAGCTTTTTGCTGATGCCCTCCGGTACAGGCTGGGCTAGGGAGCAGAGGGACTGGACCCTACTTCTACCTGGTTTAGCCTGGGCATCTTTCTGTGAAAGCCGGCACCTGGCCACATGCCTCCACAGCGACTTTCGCTTAAGCAATGCCCCACAGTCTATACAGTGCAAAAACTCACTGGATTTAACTGGGGAATTTGGCTGTTTAGCTGGGACTAAAGTTCCAATGCCGGCCTTTAAAACCTCAACATTGTGCTCACGGTTTCCACTATTCCTGATCAAATCAAACTGAAGTTTACGTGCTTTAGATTTCACAGGTAGAGCCAATGCTCTGGCTACGTCACTTTCATTTCCATGTTTTCTAGTCAAATGACGGGACATTTTGTGGCAGGACATTGAACAGTAGAGGCAGAAGTGTCTCTTGCTGTATACTCGCCCCCCATTTTTCTTCTTTTGCATCTGCATGATAACAATCTTATTTGCCTTTGGTTCGTCACTTTCCGAGTCTTGAAGAAAAGTGTTTTTGATTTTTCTTTTTCCATACTTTTTTACAGGTTTCTTCTTGACAGTTAAATCGTCAGAATCTGAGTCGACTTCATCAATTAGGGACTCTTGACTAAGCTGCACAAACAACAAATAATTTGTAATCATTCTATATAACAATTTGAAGTCATGACTTGTAGTCAGCACTTACCAGTGGTTTGTAAGCGTGCGCTTCAGTGTGCTGCTCTGTGATTGGCTGCAGCCTAATGAACCACACACTTGCACCTTTTTCTAGCCTGACACCTGATTTCCTCTGTTGTGCTGCTCCATGATTGGCTCCAGCCTCTGTTGTGCTGCTCCATGATTGGCTCCAGCCTGCTGGACTGAAATTGCCCCAGTGTGCCCCTCCTTGATATCCCGCAACCCACCACCAGGGTTCCGACACAGAACACACTTTTTTCAGGAAAGTAAACCTCCAGGGGTCCTTTCCATATTTTTACAGAGACTGCATAAGGACCGTTAGAAAAGCATTACCCATTGATTATTAAGCTTGGACCAGTGGGGTCCGGTGTTCACTTCACTTCACTTCACTTCACTTTATTTCATGTCCCCGATGGGGCAATTTGGTTCACAGCACAGGGACACATACAAAGAAAAAGACATAGAATAAACATTTTCCCCATACATTCAGACTAACAAGGTGTCCATATACAGTCTGATCCAGTCGGGCCCCACCACGTAAAACCAGTCCCCATGACGTGAGTGGAATCTCAGGTTATGGAACCCACCAGGAGTTGAAAACAAGTGCACGCACACACACACATACATACATACATACACACACACACACACACTTTCCCCCTCTCCATACGTAACATCCACACGCATCATCTCTCCCCTCTGTTACCGTCAAAGTTGCACACTGGCGCGGGTCAGAACTACATTGGAGCTTACATTTACACACACACACATATACATACACACACACACACACATACATATACATACACACACATATACATACACACATACACACACACATACACACACACATACCGGTCTGTCGCGCTCCTCTGTGTCACGGAGCCCAAAGGATCCTCAAATACGCGGCTCCAGTCAAACCACATGGAACATGTTTGTGTTTATGGTCCTCGGGATCAGCTCCACACACATCACTTGTATTTAAACTTTTGTGAAGACCTGTGAGACGCGTCACTCGCTGCTCTGACCATGTGAACGAGCCGTCGTTTGCTGCTAGAAAGTTTTGGTATTAACCCGCAGCACAGCAGAATGGGAAGATTAAAAAAGCAGTTCTCTGTGCGCAAAGGTGCCGGAGCTGTTGCGGGTTTGGGCGCCGCTGTCTCGGCTCTGATCCAGTCGGTACATGACCACGCGCGTCTATGGTCCGCGCTCGGTACATGACCACGCGCGTCTATGGTCCGCGCTCGGTACATGACCACGCGCGTCTATGGTCCGCGCTCGGTACATGACCACGCGCGTCTATGGTCCGCGCTCGGTACATGACCACGCGCGTCTATGGTCCGCGCTCGGTACATGACCACGCCCGTCTATGGTCCGTGCTCGGTACATGACCACGTGCGTCTATGGTCCGCGCTCGGTACATGACCACGCGCGTCTATGGTCCGCGCTCGGTACATGACCACGCGCGTCTATGGTCCGCGCTCGGTACATGACAACGTCTATGGTCCGCGCTCGGTACATGACCACGCGCGTCTATGGTCCGCGCTCGGTACATGACCACGCGCGTCTATGGTCCGCGCTCGGTACATGATGACCACGCGCGTCTATGGTCCGCGCTCGGTACATGACCACGCGCGTCTATGGTCCGCGCTCGGTACATGACCACGCGCGTCTATGGTCCGTGCTCGGTACATGACCACGCGCGTCTATGGTCCGCGCTCGGTACATGACCACACGCGTCTATGGTACTCGCTCGGTACATGACCACGCGCGTCTATGGTCCGCGCTCGGTACATGACCACGCGCGTCTATGGTCCGTGCTCGGTAGATGACCACGCGCGTCTATGGTCCGTGCTCGGTACATGACCACGCGCGTCTATGGTCCGCGCTCGGTACATGACCACACGCGTCTATGGTACTCGCTCGGTACATGACCACGCGCGTCTATGGTCCGCGCTCGGTACATGACCACGCGCGTCTATGGTCCGCGCTCGGTACATGACCACGCGCGTCTATGGTCCGCGCTCGGTACATGACCATGCGCGTCTATGGTCCGCGCTCGGTACATGACCACGCGCGTCTATGGTCCGCGCTCGGTACATGACCACGCGCGTCTATGGTCCGCGCTCGGTACATGACCACACGCGTCTATGGTCCGCGCTCGGTACATGACCACGCGCGTCTATGGTCCGCGCTCGGTATATATATATATATATACATATATATGTATATATATATATATATACATTTTGTGTACATTATTTGTTACATAATGTGATTAATTGGCTTTTATTAGTGAACATGCTCAGTGAATGTGCCATAAGGAAAAATTTTGCCTTTTGCTTCAAATTTGCAGTCATATTTTATTGTCACTAAACATTAAAAAAAAAACTCTGCTGTGGTGATGATCCAGGACACTAACAATCTACAATATTTACAGACATTTATCAACATTCAACTCCCCCTATGGACCAATACCATGTGTTTTACATATTATTATTTACATTTACATTTTTTGTATATGAACTGTTTGATTTTCTGATCTGTGTTGGCAATTTTAACGGTTTTGAGAGAAATACTGTTGTTATTTAGGGCTATACAAGAATCTGTTGAATTTGATTTAATTGAAACAGTAGCGTTGCTCTTGCAGCGTAGCTAGTGCGCTTGATGCCCGCGCCACTTCACGATCATTTTCACAGGAATTGCCTGGTACAGTAACTCCAGCTTCCAGTTCTGTTTTAAAGTGGAGTATGTACTGTTATAAGTTTGTGGTTGAACAGTTTTATAGACATGGATAGTCTAGTACTATGTACTGTGTTTTCTCATATATTTTAGTGTGTTTAGAGTTGAAAAATATGTTGTTGAAACAACCTAAGATTGCAGTTAACGTCACCCAGAAATAGCTGTATCGGTGACCCAACCCAGCGGTTGTGTTGCTAAATTACTGAAATTGGGTTGTTTTTGTGTGTGTCCGAGGACTGGGTTGTGAGTGGACTTGTGTTTCTCATGACACCATACTCAACATTTTGAAGCCAGAGGAGAGGCCTGAGTACTGAAGTAGTTTATAATTAAATCAATAACATCAGTGAACTAAAGCGCATAATGGAGACGATAGATAGTCGCATGGCGCCGTAAAGATGGCGCCGTGGCAAGAGCTCTGGTGTGTGTCGTCTGGTGCACACTGGGGTAGTCTTGCACAGCTTTTCCTATGTGGTTTTACTGCAAATGGCAAATAAATGAATCTGAATCTGACATGTCTGTGCTCTGATGCCATCTAGGACCTGGATTCCTTCTTGAGCTGGCTAGTCCAGACCCAGACAGCTGCGGCCTCTGAACAGCTACCCAACGACCTGCAGGAGGCAGAGACACTCATCAACAAGCATGCCACGCTCAAGGAGGAGATTGGACGGTACCAGTGCTTCTCCACACAGTCAATCAGCTGCATTACACTATTCTCAGCCTAAAACATACTGAAGATTGATGTATTTATGATTCAACTCAAATTTTGGCCAGTTTTAACAGTTTGATTAAAGTGATTGTCTGGACTTTGTCAGAAAAAAGAGAGATGGGTACATCATTTGAAAAAAAACCCAAAAAAACTACCCAAGGCCCCCCCAATCCTTCCTTTCTGATTGGTCTTGAAGCCGCGCATACTTTTCCGTGCACACGCCATATCAATGAGCCAAGACGTGCGGAGGAGAGATTATTATTATTATTATATTATTCAAATATTGAATCATAATTTGTTATACAGCTCCTCACAGCAGCAGGAGAACCATTGATCTGACGTTCTACCGTCATTATTTCTTATAACGAACTCTCAAATCAATAATGGCCGCTGCCCTTTGGCAACGCACTCTGTGCTTGTAATTCAGGTGTAAAATACTAAGATTACTCCGGACAGTAGTTCACACTAGGGTACGGACTTGATTAAAACATTCATCTAATTAATTACAGGCTATGTAACTAATTAATTGCATTTTAATCACATAAATATTTGACCTGAGAACAGTGAGAAGTAATTTTATTCCCATCCAGGGGGCAACCTACACATTCACATCAGCTTCTTTGTTCAGGTTCACTGTGCCACTGTGGTTTGTGGTCTGAACCAAAACCATGTGTGTTAAGCCTGGTTCACACGGCAGGATAATTAGGCCGATTTTGGACCCGATTTACCCCGACGACAATCGTAAGAACGCTCCGGATCTCACTGCCTTAAAAACCGCTCGCAGCAGCGAACATCCTCCACATCAGAGAGCAGCAAAGTGGTCACGGGGACTCATGCTCGAAAACCAGTGTTGTGCGTGAACGAGTTCAAAAGAACGCGTTCATTGAACACGCTCATTTTTTTGTGAACGTTGAACTGAACGCAACACATTTCTTAATAAAGAACTTGAACGTGAATTAGTTCATATTATGTGTCATGAACGGCCGACATCACTGTAAGTGAACGTTGGAATTAGTTTTCCATTGAAATCTGAGTGACATCTGTTTTTGAAACGCAACGAGAGAAAGTCCCTCCCTCCTGTATTCTCACTGGTACCGCTTAAATCATGTATCACCAGACCAGCGGCGGAGCCAGAGGGGTAGCCAGGGTGGCCTTGCCACCTCTAAAAATACCCTTGCCACCCCCAATGCCCTCCCTCGGAAGATGGCAATCTATATATGTATATATATGTATATATATATATATATATATATATATATATGTGTATATATGTATATATATGTGTATATATGTGTATATATATATATATATATATATATATATATATATGGGTATATATGTATATATATATATATGTGTATATATATATATATATATATATATATGTGTATATATGTATATAGAAAATTCATATAGAAAAAAAAATGTATATAAAAAACTCACACTTAGACAAAACACAGGCCCAAACACTCTCTGATCCCTCTCTCCCACTTAGCGCTCTGAAGGCATCTCTCTCTTTAACATACTTCGTATTTTTGTTTGCAAATAGTTTTTAAAAGTTTTCAGATTTGAACACTGAATATGCATAGATTTAAAGTAGTTCAATAGTTACATTTAGACACACACACATGTATCTTTCCTCATAGTCTTTATTTATGGTGAGCATCCCTATCATGGAAAGAGGTTTGTACATTAGGAGACATGCCCTTAACATTATTTGATCCGTTTTAAATAAAATCCTAGGGTTGAACATATTTTAAATGAACAGTGGATTAGAAAGAAGTCTAAAGTGGATATTAGATACAATCCTAACGGCCTTTTACAAGGTGATAAAAGAATGCAAGTGAAAAAATTCCCCCCCACACTTTACAGACAACTGTAAAATATTATCTTTGACTTTGATGATATCACAAGTAGAAGGATTTCAGTTTTGAACTCAGCTTTTTTTTGGATATATTATCTATTTATCCCAAATGGATTTATCAGGTGTACAAACTTCACAAAAGATGTCCATGTGGTTCTGTCTCACATCTTGTGCTGTGACTGTGCGTGTGAAGACGTGTGTCTCTTGTGTGCAGGTACGAGGAGGACTACGAGCGGCTCCAGAGCATGAACGAGCTGCTGGAGTCGGAAGAGGCTCCTCTTCCCCAAGCCGCTCTGCAGCAGTGGCTCCACAAGCTGGATGTGGGCTGGAACAAGCTGCTGGAGATGTGGGAGAGCCGCAGAGACGTGCTCGTGCAGGCACACATCTTTCACCTGTTTCTGCGAGATGTCAAGCAAGCAGAGTCCTTCCTCAACAATCAGGTACAGCAGAGACATGAGGGCAACTTTCTGAAATTTGGGAACTTTATCCCCCCATCAAAACCATTAGGAATATTGTACCGTTACTCTAATATGCCTAATATGAGGTATGTTCAGCACAATCACATTCCTTTCCTCACAACTCTGTTTCATCTGTAGAATCTGTTCTTATTCTAAAATAAGAATACTGAGTACATATTCAGCAACTGTATGTATTTATCATGTATTTTTAGCGGTTTTTTACACTCATATTATCTGTTCTTGTTATGACCAAATTAACCAAATCTAAACCAACTGAATGGTCTTGTGTTGATTTTCTGTATGTGTCCAGGAGTCAGCTCTGGCCCATGTGGAGTTACCCACCACTGTAGAGACCGTTGAGGCTGCCATCAAAAAACACAAGGACTTCACCAATACTATGGAGCTGAACCTACACCGCATCAAAGCTGTCATCGAGGCCGGCGAGAGTCTTATCAGCCAGAGCAACATTTACAGTGAGCGCATTCAAGAGCGCATCGACACACTGGCAAACAGGTAGAGAGCTATCACAGAGATCCTCACATCCGCACCCCTTCAACGCCCTGCCCCGCCCTCTCAAGTCCCTGCCCCCTCACTGCCCTGCCCCGCCCTCTCAAGTCCCTGCCCCCTCACTGCCCTGCCCCGCCCTCTCAAGTCCCTGCCCCCTCACTGCCCTGCCCCGCCCTCTCAAGTCCCTGCCCCCTCACTGCCCTGCCCCGCCCTCTCAAGTCCCTGCCCCCTCACTGCCCTGCCCTGCCCCCTCACTGCCCTGCCCCGCCCTCTCAAGTCCCTGCCCCCTCACTGCCCTGCCCCGCCCTCTCAAGCCCCTGCCCCGCCCTCTCAAGTCCCTGCCCCCTCACTGCCCTGCCCCGCCCTCTCAAGTCCCTGCCCCCTCACTGCCCTGCCCCGCCCTCTCAAGTCCCTGCCCCCTCACTGCCCTGCCCTGCCCTCTCAAGCCCCTGCCCCGCCCTCTCAAGTCCCTGCCCCCTCACTGCCCTGCCCCGCCCTCTCAAGTCCCTGCCCCCTCACTGCCCTGCCCCGCCCTCTCAAGTCCCTGCCCCCTCACTGCCCTGCCCCGCCCTCTCAAGCCCCTGCCCCGCCCTCTCAAGCCCCTGCCCCCTCACCGCCCTGCCCCGCCCTCTCAAGTCCCTGCCCCCTCACTGCCCTGCCCCGCCCTCTCAAGTCCCTGCCCCCTCACTGCCCTGCCCCGCCCTCTCAAGTCCCTGCCCCCTCACTGCCCTGCCCCGCCCTCTCAAGTCCCTGCCCCGCCCTCTCAAGTCCCTGCCCCCTCACCGCCCTGCCCCGCCCTCTCAAGTCCCTGCCCCCTCACTGCCCTGCCCCGCCCTCTCAAGTCCCTGCCCCCTCACTGCCCTGCCCCGCCCTCTCAAGTCCCTGCCCCCTCACTGCCCTGCCCCGCCCTCTCAAGCCCCTGCCCCCTCACTGCCCTGCCCCGCCCTCTCAAGTCCCTGCCCCCTCACTGCCCTGCCCCGCCCTCTCAAGTCCCTGCCCCCTCACTGCCCTGCCCTGCCCTCTCAAGCCCCTGCCCCGCCCTCTCAAGTCCCTGCCCCCTCACCGCCCTGCCCCGCCCTCTCAAGTCCCTGCCCCCTCACCGCCCTGCCCCGCCCTCTCAAGTCCCTGCCCCCTCACCGCCCTGCCCCGCCCTCTCAAGTCCCTGCCCCCTCACTGCCCTGCCCCGCCCTCTCAAGCCCCTGCCCCGCCCTCTCAAGTCCCTGCCCCCTCACCGCCCTGCCCCGCCCTCTCAAGTCCCTGCCCCCTCACTGCCCTGCCCCGCCCTCTCAAGTCCCTGCCCCCTCACTGCCCTGCCCTGCCCCCTCACTGCCCTGCCCCGCCCTCTCAAGTCCCTGCCCCCTCACCGCCCTGCCCCGCCCTCTCAAGCCCCTGCCCCGCCCTCTCAAGTCCCTGCCCCCTCACTGCCCTGCCCTGCCCTCTCAAGCCCCTGCCCCGCCCTCTCAAGTCCCTGCCCCCTCACTGCCCTGCCCTGCCCCCTCACTGCCCTGCCCCGCCCTCTCAAGTCCCTGCCCCCTCACTGCCCTGCCCCGCCCTCTCAAGTCCCTGCCCCGCCCTCTCAAGCCCCTGCCCCGCCCTCTCAAGTCCCTGCCCCCTCACTACCCTGCCCTGCCCTCTCAAGTCCCTGCCCCCTCACTGCCCTGCCCCGCCCTCTCAAGTCCCTGCCCCCTCACTGCCCTGCCCCGCCCTCTCAAGTCCCTGCCCCCTCACTGCCCTGCCCCGCCCTCTCAAGTCCCTGCCCCCTCACTGCCCTGCCCCGCCCTCTCAAGTCCCTGCCCCCTCACTGCCCTGCCCCGCCCTCTCAAGTCCCTGCCCCCTCACCGCCCTGCCCCGCCCTCTCAAGTCCCTGCCCCCTCACTGCCCTGCCCCGCCCTCTCAAGTCCCTGCCCCCTCACTGCCCTGCCCTGCCCTCTCAAGTCCCTGCCCCCTCACTGCCCTGCCCTGCCCCCTCACTGCCCTGCCCCGCCCTCTCAAGTCCCTGCCCCCTCACTGCCCTGCCCTGCCCTCTCAAGTCCCTGCCCCCTCACTGCCCTGCCCCGCCCTCTCAAGTCCCTGCCCCCTCACTGCCCTGCCCCGCCCTCTCAAGTCCCTGCCCCCTCACTGCCCTGCCCTGCCCTCTCAAGTCCCTGCCCCCTCACTGCCCTGCCCCGCCCTCTCAAGTCCCTGTCCCCTCACCGCCCTGCCCCGCCCTCTCAAGTCCCTGCCCCCTCACCGCCCTGCCCCGCCCTCTCAAGCCCCTGCCCCCGCCCTCTCAAGTCCCTGCCCCCTCACTGCCCTGCCCCGCCCTCTCAAGTCCCTGCCCCCTCACCGCCCTGCCCCGCCCTCTCAAGTCCCTGCCCCCTCACTGCCCTGCCCCGCCCTCTCAAGTCCCTGCCCCCTCACCGCCCTGCCCCGCCCTCTCAAGTCCCTGCCCCCTCACCGCCCTGCCCCGCCCTGTCAAGTCCCTGCCCCCTCACCGCCCTGCCCCGCCCTCTCAAGCCCCTGCCCCGCCCTCTCAAGTCCCTGCCCTCTCAAGCCCCTGCCCCGCCCTCTCAAGTCCCTGCCCCCTCACCGCCCTGCCCCGCCCTCTCAAGCCCCTGCCCCGCCCTCTCAAGTCCCTGCCCTCTCAAGCCCCTGCCCCGCCCTCTCAAGTCCCTGCCCTCTCAAGCCCCTGCCCCGCCCTCTCAAGTCCCTGCCCCCTCACCGCCCTGCCCTGCCCCCTCACCGCCCTGCCCTGCCCTCTCAAGCCCCTGCCCCGCCCTCTCAAGTCCCTGCCCTCTCAAGCCCCTGCCCCGCCCTCTCAAGTCCCTGCCCCCTCACCGCCCTGCCCTGCCCTCTCAAGCCCCTGCCCCGCCCTCTCAAGTCCCTGCCCTCTCAAGCCCCTGCCCCGCCCTCTCAAGTCCCTGCCCCCTCACTGCCCTGCCCCGCCCTCTCAAGTCCCTGCCCCCTCACCGCCCTGCCCCGCCCTCTCAAGTCCCTGCCCCCTCACCGCCCTGCCCCGCCCTCTCAAGTCCCTGCCCCCTCACTGCCCTGCCCCGCCCTCTCAAGTCCCTGCCCCCTCACTGCCCTGCCCTGCCCCCTCACTGCCCTGCCCCGCCCTCTCAAGTCCCTGCCCCCTCACTGCCCTGCCCCGCCCTCTCAAGTCCCTGCCCCCTCACTGCCCTGCCCTGCCCCCTCACTGCCCTGCCCCGCCCTCTCAAGTCCCTGCCCCCTCACTGCCCTGCCCTGCCCCCTCACTGCCCTGCCCCGCCCTCTCAAGTCCCTGCCCCCTCACTGCCCTGCCCCGCCCTCTCAAGTCCCTGCCCCCTCACTGCCCTGCCCCGCCCTCTCAAGTCCCTGCCCCCTCACTGCCCTGCCCTGCCCTCTCAAGTCCCTGCCCCCTCACTGCCCTGCCCTGCCCCCTCACCGCCCTGCCCCGCCCTCTCAAGTCCCTGCCCCCTCACTGCCCTGCCCCGCCCTCTCAAGTCCCTGCCCCCTCACTGCCCTGCCCTGCCCCCTCACTGCCCTGCCCCGCCCTCTCAAGTCCCTGCCCCCTCACTGCCCTGCCCCGCCCTCTCAAGCCCCTGCCCCCTCACTGCCCTGCCCTGCCCCCTCACTGCCCTGCCCCGCCCTCTCAAGTCCCTGCCCCCTCACCGCCCTGCCCCGCCCTCTCAAGCCCCTGCCCCCTCACTGCCCTGCCCCGCCCTCTCAAGTCCCTGCCCCCTCACCGCCCTGCCCCGCCCTCTCAAGCCCCTGCCCCGCCCTCTCAAGCCCCTGCCCCCTCACCGCCCTGCCCCGCCCTCTCAAGTCCCTGCCCCCTCACTGCCCTGCCCCGCCCTCTCAAGTCCCTGCCCCCTCACTGCCCTGCCCCGCCCTCTCAAGTCCCTGCCCCCTCACCGCCCTGCCCCGCCCTCTCAAGCCCCTGCCCCCTCACCGCCCTGCCCCGCCCTCTCAAGTCCCTGCCCCCTCACTGCCCTGCCCCGCCCTCTCAAGTCCCTGCCCCCCTCACCGCCCTGCCCCGCCCTCTCAAGTCCCTGCCCCCTCACTGCCCTGCCCCGCCCTCTCAAGTCCCTGCCCCCTCACCGCCCTGCCCCGCCCTCTCAAGTCCCTGCCCCCTCACTGCCCTGCCCCGCCCTCTCAAGTCCCTGCCCCCTCACTGCCCTGCCCTGCCCCCTCACTGCCCTGCCCCGCCCTCTCAAGTCCCTGCCCCCTCACTGCCCTGCCCCGCCCTCTCAAGTCCCTGCCCCCTCACTGCCCTGCCCCGCCCTCTCAAGTCCCTGCCCCCTCACCGCCCTGCCCCGCCCTCTCAAGTCCCTGCCCCCTCACTGCCCTGCCCTGCCCTCTCAAGCCCCTGCCCCGCCCTCTCAAGTCCCTGCCCCCTCACTGCCCTGCCCCGCCCTCTCAAGTCCCTGCCCCCTCACCGCCCTGCCCCGCCCTCTCAAGTCCCTGCCCCCTCACTGCCCTGCCCTGCCCTCTCAAGCCCCTGCCCCGCCCTCTCAAGTCCCTGCCCCCTCACCGCCCTGCCCCGCCCTCTCAAGTCCCTGCCCCCTCACTGCCCTGCCCCGCCCTCTCAAGTCCCTGCCCCCTCACCGCCCTGCCCCGCCCTCTCAAGTCCCTGCCCCCTCACTGCCCTGCCCCGCCCTCTCAAGTCCCTGCCCCCTCACTGCCCTGCCCCGCCCTCTCAAGTCCCTGCCCCCTCACTGCCCTGCCCCGCCCTCTCAAGTCCCTGCCCCCTCACTGCCCTGCCCCGCCCTCTCAAGTCCCTGCCCCCTCACTGCCCTGCCCCGCCCTCTCAAGTCCCTGCCCCCTCACTGCCCTGCCCTGCCCCCTCACCGCCCTGCCCCGCCCTCTCAAGTCCCTGCCCCCTCACCGCCCTGCCCCGCCCTCTCAAGTCCCTGCCCCCTCACTGCCCTGCCCCGCCCTCTCAAGCCCCTGCCCCCTCACTGCCCTGCCCCGCCCTCTCAAGCCCCTGCCCCGCCCTCTCAAGTCCCTGCCCCCTCACCGCCCTGCCCCGCCCTCTCAAGCCCCTGCCCCGCCCTCTCAAGCCCCTGCCCCGCCCTCTCAAGTCCCTGCCCCCTCACCGCCCTGCCCCGCCCTCTCAAGCCCCTGCCCCGCCCTCTCAAGTCCCTGCCCCCTCACCGCCCTGCCCCGCCCTCTCAAGCCCCTGCCCCGCCCTCTCAAGTCCCTGCCCCCTCACTGCCCTGCCCCGCCCTCTCAAGTCCCTGCCCCCTCACCGCCCTGCCCCGCCCTCTCAAGCCCCTGCCCCGCCCTCTCAAGTCCCTGCCCCCTCACCGCCCTGCCCCGCCCTCTCAAGTCCCTGCCCCCTCACTGCCCTGCCCCGCCCTCTCAAGTCCCTGCCCCCTCACTGCCCTGCCCCGCCCTCTCAAGTCCCTGCCCCCTCACTGCCCTGCCCCGCCCTCTCAAGTCCCTGCCCCCTCACTGCCCTGCCCCGCCCTCTCAAGTCCCTGCCCCCTCACTGCCCTGCCCTGCCCCCTCACTGCCCTGCCCCGCCCTCTCAAGTCCCTGCCCCCTCACTGCCCTGCCCCGCCCTCTCAAGTCCCTGCCCCGCCCTCTCAAGTCCCTGCCCCCTCACTGCCCTGCCCCGCCCTCTCAAGTCCCTGCCCCGCCCTCTCAAGTCCCTGCCCCCTCACTGCCCTGCCCCGCCCTCTCAAGTCCCTGCCCCGCCCTCTCAAGTCCCTGCCCCCTCACTGCCCTGCCCCGCCCTCTCAAGTCCCTGCCCCCTCACTGCCCTGCCCCGCCCTCTCAAGTCCCTGCCCCCTCACCGCCCTGCCCCGCCCTCTCAAGCCCCTGCCCCCTCACCGCCCTGCCCTGCCCTCTCAAGCCCCTGCCCCGCCCTCTCAAGTCCCTGCCCTCTCAAGCCCCTGCCCCGCCCTCTCAAGTCCCTGCCCCCTCACTGCCCTGCCCCGCCCTCTCAAGCCCCTGCCCCGCCCTCTCAAGTCCCTGCCCTCTCAAGCCCCTGCCCCGCCCTCTCAAGTCCCTGCCCCCTCACCGCCCTGCCCTGCCCTCTCAAGCCCCTGCCCCGCCCTCTCAAGTCCCTGCCCCCTCACCGCCCTGCCCTGCCCTCTCAAGCCCCTGCCCCGCCCTCTCAAGTCCCTGCCCTCTCAAGCCCCTGCCCCGCCCTCTCAAGTCCCTGCCCCCTCACTGCCCTGCCCCGCCCTCTCAAGTCCCTGCCCCCTCACTGCCCTGCCCCGCCCTCTCAAGTCCCTGCCCCCTCACCGCCCCTGCCCCGCCCTCTCAAGCCCCTGCCCCCTCACTGCCCTGCCCTGCCCTCTCAAGCCCCTGCCCCCTCACTGCCCTGCCCCGCCCTCTCAAGTCCCTGCCCCCTCACTGCCCTGCCCCGCCCTCTCAAGTCCCTGCCCCCTCACCGCCCTGCCCCGCCCTCTCAAGTACCTGCCCCCTCACCGCCCTGCCCCGCCCTCTCAAGTCCCTGCCCCCTCACTGCCCTGCCCCGCCCTCTCAAGTCCCTGCCCCCTCACTGCCCTGCCCCGCCCTCTCAAGTCCCTGCCCCCTCACTGCCCTGCCCCGCCCTCTCAAGCCCCTGCCCCGCCCTCTCAAGTCCCTGCCCCCTCACTGCCCTGCCCCGCCCTCTCAAGTCCCTGCCCCCTCACCGCCCTGCCCCGCCCTCTCAAGTCCCTGCCCCCTCACTGCCCTGCCCCGCCCTCTCAAGTCCCTGCCCCCTCACCGCCCTGCCCCGCCCTCTCAAGTCCCTGCCCCCTCACCGCCCTGCCCCGCCCTCTCAAGTCCCTGCCCCCTCACTGCCCTGCCCCGCCCTCTCAAGCCCCTGCCCCGCCCTCTCAAGTCCCTGCCCCCTCACTGCCCTGCCCTGCCCTCTCAAGCCCCTGCCCCCTCACTGCCCTGCCCCGCCCTCTCAAGTCCCTGCCCCCTCACTGCCCTGCCCCGCCCTCTCAAGTCCCTGCCCCCTCACTGCCCTGCCCCGCCCTCTCAAGTCCCTGCCCCCTCACTGCCCTGCCCTGCCCTCTCAAGCCCCTGCCCTGCCCTCTCAAGCCCCTGCCCCGCCCTCTCAAGTCCCTGCCCCCTCACTGCCCTGCCCCGCCCTCTCAAGTCCCTGCCCCCTCACTGCCCTGCCCTGCCCTCTCAAGCCCCTGCCCCCTCACTGCCCTGCCCCGCCCTCTCAAGTCCCTGCCCCCTCACTGCCCTGCCCTGCCCTCTCAAGCCCCTGCCCCGCCCTCTCAAGTCCCTGCCCCCTCACCGCCCTGCCCCGCCCTCTCAAGTCCCTGCCCCCTCACTGCCCTGCCCCGCCCTCTCAAGTCCCTGCCCCCTCACTGCCCTGCCCCGCCCTCTCAAGTCCCTGCCCCCTCACCGCCCTGCCCTGCCCTCTCAAGTCCCTGCCCCCTCACCGCCCTGCCCCGCCCTCTCAAGTCCCTGCCCCCTCACTGCCCTGCCCTGCCCTCTCAAGCCCCTGCCCCGCCCTCTCAAGTCCCTGCCCCCTCACTGCCCTGCCCCGCCCTCTCAAGTCCCTGCCCCCTCACTGCCCTGCCCCGCCCTCTCAAGTCCCTGCCCCCTCACTGCCCTGCCCCGCCCTCTCAAGTCCCTGCCCCCCCACCGCCCTGCCCCGCCCTCTCAAGCCCCTGCCCCCTCACTGCCCTGACCTGTTATTCAGTCTATTTAAACACCCAGCAAACCTAACCCAGGCTCAACTTTACCATGTTTCACATTTGAGAAATAGAACTAACTCAAACTGGCTCCCAACTTGCCCCAAGCCGTAGCCAAAACTTAGCCACCAAAGAGCCATTCAGGAGTGAGAGACACGGGGGGAATATGCAAACGCAACAGCGAAAGGCTCTGTCTGGAGATGGAATCGATCCCAGGATCTTCTTGCCGTGAGATGTAACCGCTGCTCCACCGTGCCGCGAGTTTGGCTTCTCGACTCACCTGTCTTTTCCTTCTTCTTTTGTATCAGTAGATCGTTAGGTTAGGTGTGGTGGTTCTGTTGGCTGTGGTTCCTGGTAAACCTAACTTGAACAGGCACCATGAGGATTAGAGCAAACTCAAAGGGGCTGCATGTTGATTATAGCCAAGCCCCAGCGATCCAAGATGGCGCCCTATTCAAAGGAATGGCTTGTGCTCAGTAGCTCATGGCACTTCATGGGGACCGAAAGATTAACGGAACTCGTCTGTTCCTCCCGATTCTGCGCAGTGGACGAGCTTCCGTGATGCTTTGTGCCAAATACGCGTTTGTGGCTCTCACGCACGTGCACAGAAGGACTCGGCCACGCTCTGACCAATCAGCGGTAGAGCGGAGCCAGAGCAGGAAGAAAAGGAGCAGAGTTTGTGGCAGTAAAGTATGGATTACCACGTAATCCATACTTTAGTACCACGGGCACCTCCTGTCTCCATGGGTGGGACAGCTATTGACCAGATGCATCAACGTCATTCAGTCACGTGATTGTGAATGAGCTTACGGCGGAAGTATTGGAAACTAGCATTAGCATTAGCATTAGCATTGCTGCGAGAGCAAAACGGACACAACTCTTAAAAACGGAGCTTCCTCTCTTAAATGGAGAAGTGGCTGCTTCAAGCACATGTTGGATTACGTTATAGGACGTAGGACGTCAGGTCAGGGCTCACAAAGAGTGGTATTTGGAGAAGTTAAGGATCGCCGAACTGGATGTTGACCCGTACCTTCTCCCCACAGTCCATTTTATCGATTAAATAAAATGTCTATTTTTGCCCAAATTCACCCTACATGATGTTTATCATTATCGTTAACAATGCATCCCCTCACACTGGAGCAGATTTATATGTACATTTTGCTGGTAGCATTAGCAATAGTCCACTTTTCTGTGGCTTTTCTGTCTACAGCCAAACATGACACGTACTGACGCAGAGGAAAATAGTGAAACACGCAATTGACTTAAAAGATAAAAATGTCAATGTTGCAGCGCACAGACAGGACAGTAGTAAGAGACACGTTTGACGTGTGTCATTGTCCTCCACATTAATGGAAATAAAATAAATACAAACTTGTGATTGCTTTATCTTGTAAAAAGTGTTCACTGCAGATTAGGGAGTACTTGGATGGGTCCCAGTCCTTTTGGGTGATTGCCGCCATCGTCGTCTTCTGTCGTCATGACGAGCAGGTATCAGATAAAAAAGCTTATGTCCGTGCCTGTTAGTATAATCAACCGCACTGCAAAATGTCACAGTTTTGGCTGTAATGCGCTGAAACAGGTTGTTTTGGTCAGGTTTCCGTAGGCTCCAGTTAGACTTCTGTCATGGAGAGTGGGCGTGGCCGGGACGTCACATGCAAGGGGTCAATAACCTAGTAATACCCTATTCAGTTTTTATTATAGATCCATGATTAAAGCTAACTCAAACATGCTCAATGAGGATTTACAAGAACATTATAACAATTAACAAAACAAAAGTGTCAGAGCGGATACGGAGAAAGACTTTGTGATTCGAACCCAACAAGCAAAACCACTTTAAGGCTCCATCATACAGGTTATAAAGTCTATGCTCTGAACGTGATGTGGCTGCTACTAGTGAAAGTAATGAGTCATTAAAACAGTTTGAGTTTCACCATACAGTATGTGTGTCTAGAGTTAGTCTGCCAAACCTCCCAGCAAATAACTTCTCTGCAGGTTTTGAAACCACTCTCTCTTTCACAACGGAAAGAACGGATAGTTTATGCTTATCCTGTACTTCCTCCAAAAAATAAGTACTTAAAGAGGCAAGTACATCAGAGGATTCCGGGAGAAAACCCTTCTACAACTCGAGCCGATCAGTAGAGACAAAGATCTGACTTGTACAAATTAAGTTAAAAAAATGGAAATAGTGAAAAATGCAGTCAAAAAGTGCAATATTGTGATATGGGAAGATACAGAGATAATGCTGTTTTAATAACAGTAACTAAAGGAAATAGTCCACTGGCACAACAAAGTCTTCAAAACAATATCATGACCGTGAAGAGTTATCTAGAGATCTATGAAAGTTATTTCGCTGACTGCCTCTGAGTTGATTTGTGCATGATGTTGTTCCAGGGGCACTCAAAACCGGGAGCTGGCTCACTGTTGGCTTGAGCGTCTGAACGACCAGTGGGAGCTGCAGAGGTTCCTGCAGGACTGTCATGAGGTAAGGAGCTGCTGCATGAGACTAAGGCTCTTTTACGCTACACTAAGGGTGTATTCAGACCTGAAAAGTCCTTTGCTCCGCTTGCTTGATCCGAATCAAAAGTGGACCAAACTTTTTTCTTTTGCTCCGGTTCGTATTCAGACTGTCCTTTTTGCAAGTGAACTTTTTTATATAAACATATTGACACGTGTGACGATCGGCTCCTATTGGACAGAGAGAGCTCACGGAGGATAGACGCAGAACCAGAGGAAAACATTGAGGGCTCGTATGTGCAGCATGTTTGCTCTTTTTAGAGCAAAACCACCTTCAACATCAACAGCAGCTCATATGACACAGGCCAAACACGTTGTTTTAAATATTGGAACAGCGTCGGAGAATGTGTGAGGAGAAAGCCGAAGGAGACTGTCTGCGCTCCGTGTCCTGTCCCACACATGGATCTATGATAATAACCCTGTTCCACAACTTACTGACAGCAGCATTGTGGATAAACCATGGATCTATAATAACCACGGGACAAACAGACGCTGAGGATCAGGTAGGAACCAAAGAACACAATTCACTACATGATGCAGAATATTGCTCTTTGAGACGTGAGTCAAACAGTGTCAGGCTTTTAATAATGCAAATGGTTTGAAGATGCTGCCATTAACATCAATGTATACTGTGAACAGTTGTAACTCCATAAGCCTGTTGCACAGCGTCTCCTCACTGCTCCAGGTCTGCACACGGCTCATTGTTGTTGTGTAGCGTTAGCAGCATAGTTAGCAGCATAGTTAGCCGCTGCGTGGCTAATTCCTCAGTTTCTGTCTGCGGCTTGTTAAGCCCAAAAATGCGCACGTATCTTGGAGTTGTGTCAGATCGACACCGGATGTATTCAGACCTGATTCGACTTGGACCAGAATTCGTTTGGAAGCGGACCGAGACCACCTCAAAAAGTGGGTCTCGGTTCGGTTCTTTGGTCCGGACCAGGATTCGTTTGTGTGTATTCAGACCTGCATAAAAGATTCGGATCAGAGTTCCAAACGAATCCCGGTCCGTTTAAAGTGGAGCAAATGTGCAGGTCTGAATACACCCTTACTTTACATCGAAAATGGTACTAATGTCTGGTCTTGTAATGTCATAGGCTAGTTGAGGATTGCTTCATATTTTAGTATCTTCCATCCATAGACTGTATATATTAACGGACAGAGTCACACCTATCTCCGCCGTTCAAACAAATGGGCCAAAAAAATTGCTCTACTGGAGCTATCCAAAATGGACGCGAGTGGTCCCGCCCACAAGAAAATTGTTTAAAAAACACATCTGCGCATGCGTCAGCTGCACGAGCTCCATTTATTTAAATGAGTGACTTCAAAAGTCCACAGCGACTAAACTAGGCAAGGCAAGGCAAGGCAAGTTTATTTATATAGCACAATTCATACACAAGGCAACTCAAAGTGCTGAACAAAACAAGAAAGCATTAAAATCATAAATTATCACAGAACATTAAAAAGAAAGATAAAAATATAAAATCCCTCAGTTGTAGCACAGCTAAACAGAACTGTCTTTAACCTGGTTTTAAACATCGTCAGAGAGGAGGCCTGTCTCACATCTTCAGGAAGACTGTTCCAGATTTTAGCAGCATGAATCTGAAAAGCAGCCTCCCCATGTTTAGTTCTGACTCTGGGCACTAACAGGAGTCCAGTCCCTGTGCTCCTCAGAGTCCCAGCAGGAGTCCAGTCCCTGTGCTCCTCAGAGTCCCAGCAGGAGTCTAGTCCCTGTGCTCCTCAGAGTCCCAGCAGGAGTCCAGTCCCTGTGCTCCTCAGAGTCCCAGCAGGAGTCTAGTCCCTGTGCTCCTCAGAGTCCCAGCAGGAGTCCAGTCCCTGTGCTCCTCAGAGTCCCAGCAGGAGTCCAGTCCCTGTGCGCCTCAGAGTCCCAGCAGGAGTCCAGTCCCTGTGCGCCTCAGAGTCCCAGCAGGAGTCCAGTCCCTGTGCTCCTCAGAGTCCGGGCTGGTTCATATGGGACTAACATGTCACTAATATATTTTGGTGCGAGGCCATGGAGAGACTTGTAACAAGCAGAGCTGTTTTAAAGTCTATTCTCTGAGCCACAGGAAGCCAGTGCAGAGACCTGAGGACTGGACTAATGTGTACTTCCTGGTTCTAGTCAGGACTAATGTGGTCGTACTTCCTGGTTCTAGTCAGGACTAATGTGGTCGTACTTCCTGGTTCTAGTCAGGACTAATGTGGTTGTACTTCCTGGTTCTAGTCAGGACTAATATGGTCGTACTTCCTGGTTCTAGTCAGGACTAATGTGGTCGTACTTCCTGGTTCTAGTCAGGACTAATATGGTCGTACTTCCTGGTTCTAGTCAGGACTGGAGCTGCTGCATTTTGAATGTACTGCAGCTGTTTTACAGCCTGTTTGGACAGACCTGTGAGCAGGCCATTGCAGTAGTCTAACCTACTGGAGACAAATGCATGGATAAGAATCTCCAAGTCTGCTTTAGACACTATGTTTTTGATCCTGGCAATGTTTTTTAGATGGTAAAAAGCTGCTGATGTTACTGATTTGATGTGGCTATTATAATTTAAGTCTGAGTCCAGTATTACCCCTAGATTTCTGACCTTGTTTGAAGGTTTTAGGGAGAGAGACTGTAGGTGACAGATGACGCTCTCTCTTTGTTTCTGGGGACCAAAGACAATCATTTCAGTTTTGTCTGCGTTTAGCTGAAGGAAGTTGTTTTGCATCCACTCACTGATCTGTTGGATACAGTGAAGGAGTGAGTCCACTGGTCCATGTTCTCCTGCAGTCAGTGAGACATAGATCTGAGTGTCGTCTGCATAGTTATGATAGGAAACTTTGTTTCTGCGTATTAACTGACCTAACGGCAGCATGTAGAGATTGAACAGAAGAGGTCCCAGGATCGACCCCTGTGGGACTCCACAGGTCAGGGCCATATGATCTGAGACACAGTTTCCAATCTCCACAAAGTACTTCCTGTCTTCAAGGTAAGACCTAAACCAACTTAGGGCGGTGCCAGCGACGCCAACCCAGTCCTCTAGTCTCTGTAAGAGGATCTCATGGTCGACGGTGTCAAAGGCAGCACTTAGATCTAACAAGATTAAGATTGAGACTTTGCCTGCGTCAGTGTTCAGCCGGATATCATTTGTAACCTTGACGAGAGCAGTCTCAGTGCTGTGGTGGGGTCTAAAGCCGGACTGAAACATATCAAATGAGTTGTTGATTATAAGAAATCTAGTAAGCTGTAGGTGGACAACTTTCTCAAGGACTTTCCCCATAAATGGCAGATTTGAGATGGGACGATAGTTGTTAAGTACCGTAGCATCGAGACTGCTCTTTTTTAGCAGGGGCCTGATGACTGCAGTTTTCAGGGCCTTTGGGAATATTCCAGAATGAAGGGACATGTTTACTATCTGTGTGAGTGAAGGTAACAGACTGCTCAGAACAGACTTCAGAAATCTAGTGGGTAGTACATCCAGGCTGCATGTGGAGGAGCTCAAACTGGAGATTATTTCTTGGACAGTTTTATCATTTACAGGTGCAAAGTGAGTTAGCTCAGAGAGCCTTTCTGGCTGTTGGATGGTTATCTGTGGATTGGAGACAATGGCATTTTTGATGCCTTGAACCTTGTCATTGAAAAAATTAGCAAACTCATTGCATTTACGTTTGGAAGTTAGCTCTAATGGCATTTGAACAGGGGGGTTTGTTAATCTATTAACTGTTGAAAACAGAACACGCAGATTGTTGCTGCAGCCTTCAATCATTTCAGAAAAATACCTTTCTCTCGTACTACGTAGCACCCGGTTAAACTCGCACAACTTATCTTTGAAGATCTCGTAATCAACCTGGAGGTTGGACTTGCGCCACTTTCGCTCGGCCCTCCGGCACTCTCTCTTTTGTGCCCTGACAGAGTCTGCTTTAGCCCACGGCGCCTTCTGCTTATTTTTCACTATTTTAACCTTCACAGGGGCAAAGGTATCCAGAACATTCAAAACACTAGAGGTGACAGAGTTAAACAGTTAATCTACAGTAGAATACGATGCATTCTCAAAGTTTATCATTCCCATAAATAGTTCACTCGTATTTTCATTTATGCGCCTTCTTCAAACAGTTGCAGAGTCCACTGGTGGTTTGTTAGTGAAACACATGTCAAAAAATACACAGAAATGATCCGAAAGAGCAACATCGACCACGTTTACATTTGAAATAATCACCCCCTTTGTAACTAACAGATCTAGAGTGTGCCCTCTGCTGTGGGTGGGGCCACTTACGTGCTGAGTGAGACCAAAGGATTCAAGTACAGAACTCAGCTCTTTAGCATTTCTGTCATCAACATTATCCACATGAATATTAAAATCACCTGTAATAACCAAACTATCAAAATCTGTGCATACAACAGAAAGCAACTCGGTAAAATTATCAATAAAACTGTGACATGACTGCGGTAACTTGTATAGGACAATGAAGAGGATTGGAGGAGATTGTTTTTGTTGCATTTTAAAAGACACATATTCAAATGACGAAAACTTCCCAAGAAACATTCTATGGGAGACAAAGTGGTCTCTGAAAATGGCAGCTAAGCCTCCTCCTTTTTTGTTTTCCCGTATTTCAGATTCAAACTTGAAATTTGGTGGTGATGCTTCTATTAAAACTGCATTTTCTGAATTTTGGTCAAGCCAAGTTTCAGCCATGAACATAAGATCAAGATTATGAGAACAAATAAAATTATTGATTAAAAAAGACTTGTTAGAAAGAGATCTGACATTAAGCGTAGCAAGTTTCAAAGTTTCAGTATCAGCGGTTGCGGTCGGCTGATTCTTACACGGAACAAGAATTAGATTTTCCAGATTAGACTGATTAACTCCAGATGTTTTTCTGTAATGTATTCTTTGTGTTATCACTAAGGGAATGGCACAGGTGGCTTCATGACAGGGCCCCAGCCGGGTCTCTCCTCTAACTAGACTGCCAGTAGCTGCGAAGCAGAGACCCTGTGCATCCTAGTGTTTAGAGAAAAGAGGGGAAGGGGAAGGCGGGGGAAGAGGATGGAAAGGTGGGTGGCTTTTGGGTGTTGAACGAGGGGGGCAGGGAGGTGGAGGGGTTTTAGGTGATGGGTTAGGGCCGGGGTGGGCTGAGGCAGAGGTTTTGGGTGTTGAGCGAGGGGGAAGTGGGGGTGGAATGGTCATGAGGTTAGGGGAGGGACTGGCTGAGGTGGTTTTTGTAGGTGAATTGGAAACCCTAGGTGGTTTTGGAGGTACATATGGGGAGTGGTTTAGCATGTTGGACAGGACTCTAGATCGAGCTAATATGGGTGTGAGAGGAATAGTCTTCATGGCCGATTTTATTAGCCCTGCAGAGTGTTCAGGTAGGTCTAACAGTGAAGGCGGGGATGAAAAACAAAGGGAGGTGTCCCCATTCTCTCTTGATGGAGTGGACGTGGCAGGGGGGACCCAAGACAGGTCCATGGGAGGTGGCGAGGGAGTCTTTGATGGAGGGGCAGGTGGTTGAGGAAACCCCAGCACAGGCCTGTCTGCTGTAGGCTGGGGTGAGGATGGGGGCTTCAGAGGCGCTGTAGATGAAGAAGGCGTGGCTGCTTTGGAGCAGGCTGGGGATGAGGATGTTGGTGGTGGTGGTCGTGCTGCTGGTGCTGCTACTGGTGATGATGCAGCTGCTGCTGGTGATGATGCAGCTGCTGCTGGTGATGATGCAGCTGCTGCTGGTGATGAAGCAGCTGCTGCTGGTGATGATACAGCTGCTGCTGGTGATGATGCAGCTGCTGCTGGTGATGATGCAGCTGCTGCTGGTGATGATGCAGCTGCTGCTGGTGATGATACAGCTGCTGCTGGTGATGATACAGCTGCTGCTGGTGATGATGCAGCTGCATCTGATGACAGTGGAGGTGTTGAGATCCTTTGAGGCGGTGGAGGTGTTGAGATCCTTCGAGGTGGTGGTGGTGTTGAGATCCTTCGAGGTGGTGGAGGTGTTGAGATCCTTCGAGGTGGTGGAGGTGTTGAGATCCTTCGAGGTGGTGGAGGTGTTGAGATCCTTCGAGGTGGTGGAGGTGTTGAGATCCTTCGAGGTGGTGGAGGTGTTGAGATCCTTCGAGGTGGTGGAGGTGTTGAGATCCTTCGAGGTGGTGGAGGTGTTGAGATCCTTCGAGGTGGTGGAGGTGTTGAGATCCTTCGAGGTGGTGGTGGTGTTGAGATCCTTCGAGGTGGTGGAGGTGTTGAGATCCTTCGAGGTGGTGGTGGTGTTGAGATCCTTCGAGGTGGTGGAGGTGTTGAGATCCTTCGAGGTGGTGGTGGTGTTGAGATCCTTCGAGGTGGTGTTGAGATCCTTCGAGGTGGTGGAGGTGCAGAGACTTTTGGAGTTGGCTTCCTCCCTTTCGATGGCTGCACGCGCTGCGCAGGCTGAGGTCTCAGGGCAAAAGAAAGGTTATCCATCAACACTTTTACTCCGTAAGTGTTCAGATGTGGCCCTTTCCCTTCAAAAAGCTCATGCCTATTCCAGAACAGATTAAAATTCTCAATGAAGGCAAGTCCTCTGCGTGAACATTCGTTGAGTGGGAAAGTATTTAGCTGATACAGACGACTGAATTTCATTTGCTTCCCGTCCACATTTGGTAGTGGACCACTGATAACGATTGTTGTGTCCATTTTAGCAAGGTCGTCCAATAAGAGAGAGTAATCCCGTTTCAACTTTTCACTTGTGTTGTCATAGACGTCTACTGCCCCCACGTGGATCAACAATCTTTTTACCCCGCCGGTCTCAGACAGAAGCCTCGGAGCCACCGCCTTATCTCATCCACTTTGGCAGAGTGTACTGAGTGAACCTTGAGATTACGCATGTTTACATGTCTTATCGCAGAATCCCCGATAAAGAGCGACTCAGCTGCATTTGACCTTGACTGAGACTGAGACTGGGACTGAGAGACTACTGCTGATTCATCTTACAAAAGTGGTGAAAAGCGGTTTCTTGTAATTAAAGATTTTTGCTGTGGCATTATGACACTCTTGTTATCATTAGCTTTGCCTTGTTTGGGCTTGGCACCATATGTGTTCCAACAATTGTCTCTCTTGATTTTGGGAAATGAAATAGCGTCATCATAACTTACGTGCTGTCCATTTGGTCCATTTCCTTTCACTGGTATTGTTGTGTTCAGCCCCAATTCTGATTCAAGCACAAACATTCGGTCTTGAAGAAGTTTTAGCTCCTGTTTGAGTGAAAAACAGCCGTCGCAAAGTTTTGTTCTTTTTTCCCATCCTCCCGACATGCTGTAAGTTAGGTAAATTCCACAAGTCTTGTGTTGAAGTTTGTAAAAAGGAGTAATCCGTGTTTTGTGGAATAAAAATGTAAGCAAAAATGATTAAAGGAGATAAAAAAGCAGCAAGCGAGGAGCAGCAAGAGAATGCGACTGCTCTGTCCAGAGCAGGAAGTACTACTGACCTAGACTGGTCCAGAACACTCAGCATTGACACACATGTGGAACGGAGCTTTGGGCCAAGAGCCTCTTTTGGACCATCCTGTAAAGACGTTTTCCAGAGGTAAGAAGATGCTATATGTTAGCATTGGCTAATTCTTATTCTGGGTCCACCCCCACAGGCCCGGGGTGGTATTGCAGCATGTCAGCGCACGTCATTTTGGACACTTTTGAGCCGGCAGCCGCCCCTACTGCTTCCATCGTGTGGAGGATTTTTTACCCTGCGTTGTGCTGCAATCTGTCATCAGGCGTTACAGCACGCAAGGGTTGTACGCACAGCATACGGCATAACATTTGTCAATTTTAACCTATGGTGATATGGTGTAAAATTACCCCGAAGTTCCTGCGGTGCAAACGCGGCTGTACAAGTGATTTTTTTTGCTCTACATCAGTCTTCTGGCCCATAATGTCCTCTACACTTCTCCATAGACAGGGATAGCATCAGCAGCCATGTACCTGCGCGCATGGCCAGTGCATACACAGTAGCGTAATGTTGGTGTCACATGTGTAAAAACAGGTTCTTCGGACCCGGATTTAAAAAGGACCACTGGATTAAAAGCGAATAAAATTTAATAAAATATATACAAAAAGGATCCATAAAAGATGATTAAAAAAACCCGCAGTCCACTCGTTTCTCCCCACTGGCCTCCGCTCTTCTCAGTCCCGGGACCGGGCCGCAGTCCCGCCAGCCGGTCGGCGACCACGGGTCGCCACCGGGCACCCGCGGGGGAGAGCCGGCACATCCCGGTCTCTCTGTGCGCGCCTCACCGGTGCCGCTCTCCCCGCTGGCCTCAGTGCCCCGTGGACTCTGGCTGGCGGTGCTCGTCCTTGGCCCGGTCCTGTGTCCTCCTCCTTTTGACTGGCCTGTCTCTCTTCCTCTCTCTGTCCTCTCGTCCTGCAGTGCCCGCCCCCAATTAAAAGGTCTTGATTAAAACAGGTGCGGGTTAGGGGGTGAAAGGCTGGTGAAAGGCTTGATGTGGGCTTGAACCCACGACCTTCTGGCTCAAAGGCCAATGCTCTACCAACAGAGCTACTGTCGCCCAGTATCACAACTGTGCGCATAAGTAACGAGTGATGGCCGCAGCTTGACGACTTTATTGTTTATTATTATTAATTTGTTTATTTAACCAGGGACCATGTACAATTAGAACATAACTGTTTCCATTTGATGTATTGTACCGGAGTTACCCTTAGGTTAATTTACATCCATAGTCCCCACAACCCCAAGAAGTGGATATTTACGGATCTATATTTTTTGCTGAACGAAAACCCCTAAAAGTTACTGTTAACGGCACAGTGAAGCAGTTGAACTCACTGGAAACAATTTGTGGAGTCACTGCAATCTGCATAAAGGCTCTTGTCCGCCTATGTATGTCCAATCAACCCCCACCGTTCAGGAAAGACTAGAAATACACTAAAGTGGTGTACAAAGCAAATTCAGTTTGTGAGATTATATACAGTGGGGCAAAAAAGTATTTAGTCAGCCACTGATTGTGCCAGTTCTCCCACTTAAAATAATGACAGAGGTCTGTTATGTTCATCATAGGTTCACTTCAACTAGCCTGGCTCTGCCAGACCCTTGTAGTTCCGCCATGCTCCACCAGAGGCGTTTGGCTGAACCACATGGGTCTGGTATTGAGCCCATAGCGAACGTCTTCCCCAGATTATTTTTTAATCGACCAATCAGGATTGCCGGTGTTACGTGGGGTTTGCACTGCCTTCTCAAGCTTCTCTCATGCAGCAGCGAGAGGAATCCAAGATGGCGGACGTAAAGTCCGCGAATCTTTTTAAAAAAGTAAATACGATCGAATTAAGACACGGATGTCACTTTTAATGCAATTTGAGGCGAGATGTAGATGGTTCTATGTTGATGGTTCTATGTAGATGGTTCTATGTTGATGGTTCTATGTTGATATATGTGTGTTTTAAGAGTCAAATGTAAAGTTTGGTTGAAGCACTGGTTCAGTGTTCCTGTTTACACACTATGCAGCAGGGTTGCCAGGTTTGGTGGTTCCCGCATATTTTTAAGAGACTTGTAGGTATTAAATAAACAGAAAGACAATAAACAGAATCATGATAGCCCGTTGATTATATTACGTTTTTAGCCAAAAATTCATACTGAGTGTTTTTTTTTTGGGGTATTCTTGTGGATTTTGGGTTGGAAAATCTTGCTGGGATTTGGCAACCTATGGGAGCCGTGTGCTTCGATGTGAGGGGTTGAAAGCAGACTTCATTCAAGATAACGGACAAGTGGTCTATCCAATCACATACAAGGATTTTTTTTTACAAGGCCCTGCCTTCTGAAATCCAACCACTGTGGCTCAGTACCAGACTCATGTGTGAAGTGCAGCGGACTACATGGGTCTGGCCAGAGTCAGGCTACACTTCAACTGGGAGAGACAGAATGTGAAAAAAAATCCAGTCATTCACATTGTAGGGTTTACTACAACTTTTACTTTATATAGATCTGAATACTGATAATAGGTAATTTAATGCACTTAATATTGTGATATTCAGGCTCAAAGTGCTGTGTACGCTGCCTGTTTTAGAGAGCCAGTTGCTGAAGCTGTAAGGGTGTCACACTCAATAAAGTTGGACACATGATGTTTTGATGTGTAGCTTAGGTCCTGGATCTAAAGCCCGTCCGTCCATGTGAAGCAGATCCCTCTCAATGTGGATCTCCCCGAGGTTTCTCACTTTTCTCCCACTAGGTTTTGTGTCTTAACTGTTGATTCTCTGATCTGTGTTGGTGATTTCAATGGTTTTGTTAAGTCCTCTGAGATGACTTCTGTTGTGATTTAGGGCTATACAAGAAAAACATTTATTGTACTGTATCAGTCCCAGCTCCTTTCCTGGGTATAAGGTTAACTATTCCAAATCATACGCTATCCCCCTTGGCACCCTTTCAAAAACTCCAATCTCTGGCTTATCCAATCTCTCATTCAAATGGTCTCCTAATGACCAATTGAGCTGAACTTGTACACAATTGCGCAGTGCAGTCCCTCCAGGCTTTTGCGGGCAATTACATTTTTCGATCAAATATCAATGCACAAATAACGTATCTAATATATATATACGTATATATAAAGTAAGATACAATGTTATCCTCTTTTAGCTTATACATTGAAGGAACTATCCTGAAGGGGTTATTATCTGAACGCAAAAGTGCAAATATTTAGTCAACAGATTAAACATGCAAGTCAGTAAAGTCAGGTTTATATTAACCCTTTAGGCGGCATGGTCGACTTAAAAGGGACCTAATATTATTTTGTTGGTATATTGTGGTATTTTTTTGTGTTAAATAAAACTCATTTTGACAGATAGTTTCACCCTTAGCAGTTTCTATCAATAATAATCATGCAAAAAGAAATTTGCGGACAAATTGCAGAGACCGGAAGTGACGTACACACAGGTGTCATTGGGCTTTGTTGATTTGCATTTGTGCCATAACGTTGTATACGGACGTTTTAAACAGATATTTGTCATTCACTGATGGACAATACAAGTCAGGGGCTTTTATCTATGAGCCCTTGGTACTTGTTATGACAGTCATTCTGATTTTGAGGACTCTGACTCGGTTCAGATGAGGAGCTATCTGCAAGAAATGGACATTTGCGAACATTAGGGCCGTTTCCACGGGCTGGAGTATGGATCTATGGTCCGACCGGGTCCGACCCGTCTCGACCCGGTTTGCGGATGCGGTCAGTTTGAGCTCGATGGTCCACCCGAGTGAGTGTAAATAGCTGAAGTGTTAGCGAAGGTAGCGCTAGGGACGAAGGAATGGATATCAGGGACATCGCAGAGAAAAGTTAAGAAGCATAAAGTACGTCATCATTTTTCTGGCCAATCAGAGGCGTTGATATTAAAAAGTT